TCAGAAACCTGTCAGTGATGAATCCCTTTGTTGGTGACGGTGATGCTGACCATGCACAGCCTTCAAGTTCTTCGCTCAATTCACCTTTTACTGCACCCTCTACTGTACAATCTCACTAGCGACCGCGGCCTATTGTTTGTCGAGACAAGTGCGGGAGGGCGGAGCTGACGGCCGGACAATATCTGGTGTTGCAATTGCCGGATTCTTTGGCATCTTTACATTCCTCATGACCGCAACGTCGTGGAGGTTCATTTTGCTGAACATTACTAATATTGACGCGCTCCGCAAGTCCTGGGTGCATCAACTCGCAATCCGAGTCCCCAACGACACGGGCCCCGGCAATGGATATGGTATCGTCACATATCCTCTGCCAAAGTATCCTCGGGGAGCACATGAATCATCAGATGCCACTGTTGACAGTGAATCGCCTAGAGATAGCCTGGCAACCCGAGTGTTCGCCATTGTCAGCACCGACCCCGACGAAAACCCCTGGGACCTGGGCTGGAGGAGAAATTGGACGTCTGTAATGGGTTACAGCCTGATCGACTGGCTTCTTCCGATACGCGGCTCGCCGTGCGCTGTACACGATAGCATGGAGAGCGATTACGAGATGGGACCTGTGGTGCAGGTCCTGAGAGAACGATACGGACTCCGGGACCCGAGCCAACCAGCCTCGCAGGTTGAGATGCAAGAAATAAGGCCAAGCGCACGTTGAGCACATATCCGAGATACCCAGTAAGACATGAGTTGGCGTTGGTTGTTCGATGAACATACTTTGACGAGCGTCTGCTTTGGAATACGCGGCACCGGCCACTCCATGCTCAGATCCGTTTTGTGTAATACTTAATCTAGTACAGAATAACCCTCATGCTTTATTTTCCCGCCGTCCATAGCCATACCAGTGAAAGAAGTGTCAATCGAGGGGGTTCGGAGGATGACTTATCCACAAAAAAAAAAAAAAAAGACTAAACTGGGCTCCGAACCTGTAATCCCTGGCAGCCACTCACACTTCTGGTCAGTTGACTAGTTGAGCCAGTTGGACCCAGGGCAAGTCCGATAGCGCAGTTATCAGATCTGAATCCGAATCACTCTATAAGGTGAGCAGGCAGTCGGTTCTCTGGGGAAGGTGCGAGGTGAGAGAAGCGAATAGTGAGGTGAGCTGGGTGGAGTAAGGCAACATTTTCATGAGGCAGACGTCGGTTCAGCTACATGCAACATATATATTCCTGCTTATCAAAGCCTTAGATTTAAATATCTTGATCAGGAATAATTGGAAATCACTCATGGTGGGAAGGTCCCAACAGGGAAGGAAGTCAACCGCCACATCTGATTCGACACGCATCGCTTCATGTAATATCAGTGCAGGAACTGCACTTCATGTGCTCGCAGCCATTAGAGCACTTCATGGTGCCTTCGTCATCTGTCCCGCACATTTCGGCATTGTTATCCTGTTCGCAACTGCAGCATGTCCAAGACCCTTCAGGCATCCGTTGCCGGCTGTTGTTGGGAGGAAGGGATTCGGCGTCAGAATCAGAATCAGACCTACCCCACGATTAGGTTAGCAAGTCTACCTACATAGCAGGTATTGAACAATTCTCACATCTTGTGCAGTTGCCTTCCAGTTTGACGACAGATCGGAGAGTGATATTAATGATCGAAGTTGTTTGTTTTCTCTCTTCCAGACCAAAAGCCGATGTGAGTTGAGATATTGAAATGGGTTATTCTTGAAAGGATTCATATGTTCTTATATAATTCTCCTGAAGGTGTTTGTCTAGCACTGTCGCGAATTCGACTGTTTGAACTCTTGTCTTGAGCATGCTCGACTTTATACCACCGCCGCGCTTCGACGAGTAACGGCACGACAGAGCCGCCCCTGATGTTTCTCACCTACCTAGTAGCCACAATTCTTGGCCTGCGGTGAGAATTACGGAAGGCACTCGATTTCAGGAGGTCTACCCCCAGTCATCAACATCGATGAGCACCCGTCGTGGGTAGGAGTATCTCTCTCTGACGACTCCTTCTGGAAGAGTATAGCTAGTCCAGGGGTGCATCTATTCTCCAAGATCCAATGGGTGGGTTGGATCTTGCAGCTGTCTCAGACGCAGCAGGCAGAAGTTATGGGATGGCCCCCTCTAGGCTGGTTCAGCGATACCTTGGCCTCGATATTCCTGGTAAATAACCCATGGAGGACGACTTATGACTGGCCTAGCTGCGAGGTCAACTCTGAGAGATGACCTGATACCGATGACCGGGTACATCGTCCACCTACGCAGACCGACAGCCACCGCGGGATGCCCGAACTCTAGTCCAAGAAGGGGGCTAATGAGATGAGAAAGCTCGACCGCCGTGCTTCTTGACTTTACCGAGACCTCACCCTCCCGGACGATGGATTGCTTGGGGTCCATGGGGCCGAGAGACAGAGACAAAAGTGCCGATTCTTTGCTCTCTTGCTCGGACAAGGCGACATCAGAAGGCAGCCAGAAGACCCACCCCATACGGCGTTACAGGACAGCATAGAATAAGGTTGCGTCAGGTAACTCGTTACTAGACTTCCCCCTTTCTACCACAGATACCACCTCCAGCCTTTCTACTCTCAGTGCATGCTGAAATAGCCAAGCCCACAATGGACCCAATTGGAAGGGTCCACAGCTTGAAGTTGTCGTCCGTATGATAGCAATTCGTCCCAAGCACAAGATACCTACAAATAGGACACCAACAAACCAAATCGGAGTACAACTCCGTTGGATGACCGTAGTCGTCCAATCTGGCTTTCGCATCACAATATTGCTTCGACATTCCAAGTGGCTGGCGGGCCGCAAATTAGAGGTCTCAGGTAGGGCCAGTTGCCTGGTGCTGTTGGCGAGCCTCGCCTGTGACTTTGAGTTCTTACATCATAACCCAGACACTTTTTGCACTTCTACGGCCCCCCTCTGCCCGTAGGATCACGGGCCTCGAAGATTCACGCGATGGAATTGATGTCGAATTTGTCGAATAGGTGAAGGCGATGGTCACGGCGTTACGTGAAGCATGGGGTCGGGAGTATGGAAACTGACGCTCGTTGGCCATGTGAAAGCCCATGTCTCATTCCCCTCTGTCATCCTGGAGTACTAATCTCCAAGGGGTGTAACCTCGGGGCCTAAGATTCTGCACATGGTGATGGTTGGACCTGGGAGCCTTCCGTCAGCGAGCGGATGGAGGAGAACCAGAGGCTCCAAGCATCGGCGGCGTCGGATTGGCCGAATAAACGCTAGGGCAGCATATACGCCATGTGGTAATGGTAGCATTGGACAAATCTCAGCGCATAAGGCTGTAGGATTTCCCACAGCAGATGACGATGCCTTGCTTGAAGCGACGAAAAACGGAGGTGTGAAGCGGGGGAACCGGAGCGGGCTGCCAGTCTGACTATGATGGCAGCTTGTGTCACCTTTTCCTTCGGAGAGGTGGGCATCCGGAATAGAAGCTGCAGCCTTACGAGCAGTATCCAAGAAGATGCTGAACGTGTTCGGGGGCTGCGTCTTCGCAAGGTAGGCTTGATTGAGGATGGCTGCCTCGCTCTCGACGCAGGCCGTTGATGACGCCTGATTGCATCAGCCTGCTCGATGTTGAGCTGTCGGTTCCAGCGGATAGATGTCAAATTTGAGCAGCATGGGAGTGGAGAAGAGGAGTCGTCGTCACTGCCCGATTGGGAACAACGGTTTTTTGAACTGAAGAAGCAGGCCCATCAAGGAAAGATTTGCAGGTACGTGATGCTAGAAAGGCAGGACCATCCAATGGCGCGTCCATCTGTGTCTCGAATGCCTAGAGTAGAGAAGGCCGTGTCAGGTCTCTCGTGGCATGAGGGGCCGAGTAACACCACCATCCCGATATAGGAAATACTGTGTCTTTCGTCGATAAGAGCCCCAGTCTCCGGGAAAGAGTGTTGCTGCCAGTAAATCGACCAATCAAGAAGACTCAACTGACATCGTTTGCGTGAGGATCCATTTGTCGTCCACCGCCTCGCGAGACATCGGGTAACGAAGCTGAATGAAATGCCGTGGGGGAGGCAGCAACTATCGTTGCGCAGGCTCCAACTCCGAAGACCTGCAGGCCTGTCTTTTCAAAGCGTTCGGTTGGAATCAGGCTGGGCTTGCACGCCGTGTGCGCCATAACTCAGTGACGTGTTGCTGGATGATAGTAGTGTAGCAAGGCAGGTTGGTAAGCCTAGACAGAAACAACGTTGACTTTCTGAACGATGTGGAACTTTGACACAAGTACCAACTAGGCGTTGCCAGCCAAAGAAGTATGTGAGAAGGTTAATGATTGTGACGGTCTTGTATTAACGAGTCCCGCGGTGTTGGTCGGTATTGTTGGAATCCTGACAGTAAGTTCGAGGTGGGAAGGTAGCAGGGGAGGTGATGGATCGGAAAGTGACCCACGTCAAATCTGCGGATCATCGTTGGAGAAAGAGTGGGCCCAGACAGCCACTAAGCGCCTTACGGCAAGCTCGTCTCGGTGTTGAGGACGTTGCGCGCCGCTGCGACCAGCACTTTCACGTCTGTTCTTAGTGCACTGTGGTAGTGTGGAAAAGACAGGCGCGTCAAGGATCGCGTCTGCGTTTGCTTCGACTACCTACCTAGTCACTTAGCAAGCGCAACCCAATATCTGTGCAACGACCTCCGAACCTCAACTTACCTGCTTTCCCTTTGTATCGTCGTTGAGGCCCACTCATATCGCACACTTCCAGCGTGCTGCGACCATCAAAAACTCAAAACCCCTTGTCTTTATGCCAATGTCTATCTCACCCGGCCACTACTGAACTGGGGCAACTACGCCGACGACGCCGGCACTTGTTGCTACTGCTGCTACTCTCGAAAACATGTCGTCCTCCCAGCCCTTTCGGGATTCATCCCCCATCGCAGGCACTGGCAGACGCAAATCACACTTCACCTATCGACATCTGTCTCAGCTTGCCTCATACAATACGTCTTGTCCTTTGCGAGTCGTTGCGCACATCGATCTAGATGCCTTCTACGCTCAATGTGAGATGGTACGTTTGGGCGTGCCCAAAGATCAGCCTCTGGCTGTCCAGCAATGGTGAGTATGACGCCTACACCATCTGCTTGCCTCTACTAACATGGCATAGGCAGGGTCTGATTGCTGTCAATTACCCAGCACGGGAGCATGGTATCGGCCGCCATTGCACCTTGACCGAAGCTAAGAAGATGTGCCCGAATCTGATTTCTCAGCATGTAGCCACATGGCGAGAAGGCGACGACAAATGGGCCTACCGCGATGATGCAGCCGCCAACATTCAGAGTGACAAGGTCTCTCTTGACCCTTACCGCCTGCAGTCCAGAAAGATCTTGGCAGTCATCAAGGAATCCTTGCCCCAAGACCTCCAAAAGGTTGAAAAAGCCAGCATAGACGAGGTTTTCTTGGACCTGTCTGCGCAAGTGCATTCCGTTCTGCTGGAGCGGTTTCCGGAACTCGGGAACCCACCTCCATACGACGACCCTACTGAGAATCTGCCCAGCCCGCCTGTCTCAGCATTAGATTGGCAAGCAGATGCTCTCATCGATCTGAACGAGGAGGAGGAGTCTGTGGACCCGGACTGGGACGACGTGGCGATCCTCATTGGGTCCAAAATTGTACGAGACGTTCGACGTCAGGTCCTGGAAAAGCTCTTTTACACATGTTCGGCCGGCGTTGCCAAGAACAAGCTGTTAAGCAAGTTAGGCTCCGGTCACAAAAAGCCCAACCAGCAGACTGTGATCCGGAACCGAGCCGTGGATCAATTCCTGTCTGGTTTCAAGTTCACAAAGATGCGCAATCTCGGGGGAAAGCTCGGCGAAAACGTTGTTACGACCTTCAACACTGATGCCGTCAGTGAACTGCTGCCCATTCCTTTGGATCAGATGAAGGCAAAGCTGGGGCATGAAACGGGAACATGGGTATACAACACCATTCGAGGTATCGACAACAGCGAAGTCAACTCTCGTACACAAATCAAGTCCATGTTGTCAGCCAAATCCTTCCGACCTTACATCAACACGCCCGAGCAAGCTGTGAGGTGGCTTAGAATCTTTGTGGCCGACATTTTTGCCCGACTGGTGGAGGAGGGCGTTTTGGAAAACAAACGCCGGCCAAGAACAATAAACTTACACCACCGTCATGCCGGTCAGATGAAATCACGGCAAGGCCCGATCCCTCAAGGCAGGCCTCTGGATGAGCAGACTCTCCTCGAATTAGCAAAAAGCCTACTCAACCAGATCATAGCAGAAGGAAATGTCTGGCCTTGCGCGAATTTAAGCTTGAGCGTCGGGGGATTTGAGGATGGTATCACAGGTAACATGGGCATCGGAGCCTTTCTGCTCAAAGGAGAGGAAGCCCAAGCCCTAAGGCAGGGCGCCCGTGAAGCAAGCTGCAACTCGATACCGGAAGAAAATCCATCAAAACGACGGCGGACTGAGGAAGGGGCAATCGATCGATTCTTTACACGGGGCGTTTCCACCGACGACGAACTGCTGCCCGACGATGCAACCATCAACGAGGATATCAAATCCCGAAAAAGGGCCACCACGGCAGACTCGCCAGCGGCTACACTTACGGCAGATCGACGGCAGGAAGCAGTCAACGATAGCCATGGCCAGCCACCAATCACGCCCTTCTTATGTACGCGCTGCAACACAGGCTTCGAAACGCCAGAAGAACACCAAAGCCACGCAGATTGGCACTTCGCCAAGGATCTACAGGAAGAAGAACGTGGCAGTGCCACATTTGCCAATCGATCCACTGCTGCACGCAGCTCTGGCATAAAAGCATCGGGTGCATCGGCCAAGCGAGGCGGCCGCGGAGGCAAACTCGAGCAAGGCCAGAGCAAGTTGAGGTTTGGATGAGTCCTGATCACACACCAAGGGTATCACTACGTCAAAAGTTTGTCGAGCGGGTCCTGCCGCTTGATACCTGATCTGACCAAATTGAGGACCTCGCGCCCTGAGACTCGGTTCCAGGGTCATCGCGGCAGAGCAAATTAATGATGTTGTCCCCGGCGAACCTCAAAGACCGGTTCCTGAGGATTCCGAGCTCATATCTGTCCACCACAAGAAGGGCGCAACAAACCTTGGATTAAGGGACCCATTAAGTAAGGGCGTTGTTGGTTCGGATGCTCTGCAATGGCCACTTTTGGCTGCGATGCAACAAGTATTGTCAACTGAAATGCTGGTTCGATGCCCACCTGACGCCCTCATCTAGTATGGAGTTACTCACTGCATAGTACAGGCGTATGCTGGGTCACATTTCAGCGAAGTAAGCGGTTCCGAGACAATGAGGTCGGAGAACTTGGCCGTGACAGCCTGACAAGACAAGGAGAAACATGCTTCCCATATTGTAGGGGAGCGACGCTATTGATGGCTTAATGTGGATATACGATACCCGCCAGTGTCGTCATCCCATCTTCCGCCTGCAGCTATCCGCGACATGGTTGGGTCCCCGCGTGTTGGATATTGGGAGCGTCAGGGGCGATGTCTACTGAGGAACAGGGCCTCAGTCATGATAATTCCAGATGGCCCAAGGATCGATGCTGAAAGTCACAGAAGAAACATTACAGCCGCGCTTTTTTCGGAATGCCAGGGCCGGGGCATATCGTGTCTCTGATTGAGGTCGTTGCCGCGAGAATGCCAGGTCTGCTCGTCGCGTATGGTTTTGGATGTGTCGGGTCGTCTTGTCAGAATCCAGATGGCGTCTGTCGATGATTGGCCATGAGTTAGGCATCTTTTGGGCTAATGTGGGTTGGGCCACAATTATTTTGGCGCGAAGCATTGATACCCAACGACACCAACCACCGCCCGCTACCAGGTTGCGATCGAGTTACCTCAGCGCGGATTGTCTTCAAAGGCGGATGAGGGACGCAGAACACGCATGACCATCCGCACATACATTCTTGACCATAACGGAACACCGAGGATGAAGGGGGAGATCAATCGGCGAGGGATTCTTTCGATGGAAAATACTCTTATATCGTTGTCAATGCCGCCCGCGCGTAAAAGCCTCTGGTCGAAGGAGTATTGCTCACCTGTGTCCGACAAGCGTCAACCACACCAAGCCGCTGGGATACGTGGGCGTCGAACGGCAGACAAACCCGACGCAAGGACGTGCCGACCATACTGAGTACGACCACAGTACTTCGCACGCACAGGGCCTTGGTTTAATCAGCTGGAAAGTGAAGTCAGGATCTGCCTACCTCACGTTACGCCGCTGCCACCGACTTGTCGCCGTTTGAGCAGCTGGGATGACCCGGCTCTGTAGGGTATCAGCAACTGTGACGGCCAAGTTGATAAAAATGGAAGAAAAACGGAAGAGAAAATGACAGGCATCACCTCACTTTAACTCGCCTCACCTTGGGCAACCTGACGAAACAATGATCATCAGGGTCTGGCAAATGAAGCCTACAGCGCGACAAAACTTTGGATGTTTGTCTCCGTGCTTTTGAACATGGAGTGCGCAAGGGGTTGGCGAGAAAAGCCTGATGTTTCGAAAGAGCCGGATTCGCATCCTGATTTCAAGTGGAAACCCATACTCATGGCATATTTCGTGTGGCATTGTGGTCCGAAGTTCAAGAATTAGAATTCTCATGGGCCCCGGCAAAAAAGCACCGGGGAGACAACCGACAACACCCTTTGGCGCGGTTGCCCAACGCCACTGTGCGCTAGCAAGCCGTCATTCTCGACACATCCTGGAGACGACCAAACGCTTGTTGGTCTAGAAGGGACTACTCACGAGCCACATCTCCCCCAAATCTCATCATCCCAAGCCGACGAACGGCATCTCAGCCTCAGCTGCATAGGATTCCTCAAACGAGAGTTTTCGGCACTAACGGTCTAGATCTCTGTCGAGCCCTCCCGCAGACAGGAGTGATGGCGATTTACACGATGGAGAGACACGAGTAACAGCGTCTGAATCACATTCATCTGAGCCAAGTCTCCCATCAAAGGCCCAATATCCGTGCTGGAACGCGAGAGTTTGTCGTCTTTGTGTTATTCGCTGGTCCCTTGGGCACTCGCTCCCTCGGCTCTCCCGCGTGTTCCACTGATCCGCAACATCCTCTATTGGGCACCAAATAGCCTTGTCGCATTAGACCGGAAAGGCGGTGGCAGTGACAAACAAACCATGGCGTCGCCAGACTGAGCCCGTACAACGACACTGAGAGCCCTGTTGCGACCCTCGTGAACAGCCGATAAACCTTGCATTGGATCTCACCGCAGCTCGTCGTCTTTCCGCTGTCCCTGGGGTTCAGGGACAGACAGACACGCTGGAAATACCGATTCCTGGGCTGCGACCGCAGTTGATGGGGAAGCCACTGGCAGTGCTGAGTGCCGAGCCCTACCAGACCGCCCTCACCTCGGTTGTGCTGCCTCTCTGACTCGCCTTACTATTTACGTATTGCGCCCACAACGGCTACGGGATCACCAGCCGCAGGTAGCATCCGGTCGCTTGCTCACGACGTTTGGGGGCTAGAAACCTGGAAAACCCAGAGGAGAGGATTACCTCATCTGACGCTCTCACTCACTTAGCAGGCAGTAAACTGTGCAAGGCGGGCATTGACGAGCCAACGTCAGTTTGCTTCTCGGGTGGCTCATCTCCACCGCGGAAAAACGCTCATTGGATTTGCTTCTTCTTCTCCCGACGTCAAATACTGCCTTGCGAACCCACGCAACCAATTAACCAAGGCGGCGACGACGTTGGGATTGGCGCGTGCTAGAAGCCGGCAGCCAAAGTCGCTTCGAATTCTGCTAGTGCGCGCACCGGGCAGGGAAGCGGGAAGTACACGCCAGATACTCGTTCTAGACGAAGTACAGTCTCCTCGGTATCCTTTTTGGGGCTGCCCAACCTCCAGCAGCTGCACCTCATCCCGTCTCCATCCACTCAGAGCGGCCGCCACCCAGCTTCCTTGCTGCCGCCCAACCGCTGTCCGCCTCTTGTCTTTCTGCTGCTTCCCAACTTTTGTCTGGCTCGTCATCTCTCACTGGCTCTCTGCTGGTCCTTTTTTCCCACCAAACCAAGACGCAGGCTAGGCACGGGCAGGCTCTCATCGGTCAGCCAGGCCAGACTTGGCCGCACCAAAAGACGCACCACCACCCACCCCTCCCAGCCCCTAGCCCCTCCCAGGCAAGGTCTAGGGAGTCACAGAGTGGCAGATTTGCCAGGTTGCTGGGGTTTTGCTGGAGCGCCTGGGAAAATCCGCACGGGACTGTCAGCCAACAACGTGGTGCCAACAAGCCCTGTTTCTCAGATCAGTCCCGAGGCCTGCGGTTACCGTTTCCTGTGTACCTGCTGTACCTCTGCGCTGGGCCACGCACAAGACAGATAGACAGCCAGTCAGCCAGAGACACACACACGCACACTCACACACGACGCACACATATCCAGAGTGTGAGGACGAAGAGGGCCTCCCATCCAGCGATTGTACATTTACGGTACATCCAACCCGACCGTTCGCTCGCTCTCTCCCGCCTCCCGCCTCCCGACTTGCGTCTTGTCCTGTCCAGTCAGAACGAGGACGAGGGTGTGCTGGTGACCACTCACCACTCACCACTTAGCACTGACTTGATCACTGGCCACTGGTCCACGTCGGTGACTTATCGCTGGGGGTCCCGGTTTTTCGAACAATCCCCACCCCCAAGAGAAGAGCCAGACTCTGGCCTGTTCCTTTTCTTCTCCCACCACCCACTCCCTGCCCGCCTTTGCGCTTCCGTCCTCTTTTTCTTTCCGCCATCTCGCCGACATTTGCATCCTGCCGTCCCTCCCCTCTCTTCTCTCTCGTTCCCTCTATACCATCCTCTCTTCACATTCCGTCCGTGTCCTCGTCTCCGTTCGACCCTCACGAAACCCTTCGATCATGTCGTCCAGAACATCGCGCGGTGCCCCTCCTTCGGGCAGCTCCTCTGCGGCACCCCCCTCCAGCGGTCGTTCCAACGAGTACTTCGTCCCACGAGATGGTATTGATCGCGAGGTCATCACGGCAGACATCTGCCGCTACCTCGGAAACGATGCTTTGGTGCGACCCGGTCACTACGAGAACCCTCAAACCGGCCAAGTGGTTCAAGGCTACTACATCACCGCGTACCGGAACCTAACAACAGTGAGACTTCCGACTCGTCATGCCACCACAATACGCATGCTAACACGAAGCCCCACAGGCTATGATTGATGATCTCAAGGCCGACTCTGCGCGTTGGGAGGCAGAGAGGCGGCAGCAGGCCGCCCGGAACACCCAAGGAGGTACATTTGCCTCGAGAGATGCGGCGGCTCCCTCTTTGTCGAGACGATCTAACTCCCCTACAGCAGGGTACCGCCAGTCGGAGACTCATTCCGCGCGCCAACACTATGGCCCCACGGATCCC